CTTAATTAACTTTAAGTCACATAAAAGGTAAGTTTTTAAATTTGTTTATTTTTTATTTTATAGAATACAAATATTAAATATAGTAGTATAAGGCAACTAGGACTCAAAATTTATTTGATCAAATTAGTTTAGGATTCTATTTTTTGATTTACCTAAAATATTTCATCGTTATTTTTTGTTTCATCGTTCTGAAACTTGTTTAAGTGTGGTGTTGTATCTTGAACATCTGTAATGGGAGGCCCTCAGGTATCTCTTCTGTGACACATTGCATCCAACAAACTCAATATCTATATGCATGATGACATGTTTTACTTTCACTAGTTTTACATAGTAGCAATTTAAGATAGTTTGAATATTTAAGTTATATTTAGCTTGTCAATTTAACATCCATTAACTACATGTTGCAGGAAGAATTCTCTAATTTACCTGAGGAAAATGCAGAAAACATTGGATCTTCACAAGAGGATATTCTCCATTTTGGTGATGAAAAATCGAGAGTGCCATACATCGGTATGGAGTTTCAGTCACTTGATATTGCATTTAAGTTTTATCTTGATTATGCTCATCGTAGTGGTTTTAGCGTGCGCAAAAATCGAATCACTAGATCAAGAAAAGATAAATCAATAATAGGTCAAGAATTTGTTTGTTCAAAAGAAGGATTCTGCTAAAAAAAGAGTCTTGAGAAAAATATGCAACGAGATGAAACTAGAGAAGGGTGCAAAGTGCTGATATATTTGTTGAAGAAAGAAGACGAAAAGTGGGTTGTTGCTAGGCTAGTCTCAAACCATAATCATGAACTTGCTTCTCCACATAGCCAAAAATTCCTGCGATCGAAAAGGAAAAAGTCAGAAGCTCAAAAGAATCTTATTGATCTATTAGATAATTTAGGTGTTCGTCCTAGTAAAATTGCATCAGTATTAATTACTCACATCTCAATAAAATTAATGGCATTAAGCCAAATTATAATAATTAACCTTAAATATATACACACAGGCACATAAATGTAGTTAATAAGAGGTTAGACATTTGTTTGCAATACATTACATTGTATATTGATGTAAAAACTTTATTTATTAATATGAAGATTTGAATTGTTTAAGTCAAAGTTCTAAAATATTTTTGATAAAAAAGTAGCTACTTTTTTTTAATAATGTCAATATTGTTTCAAGTGAAACTAAAATCAGAAAATTAACTATTAAAATCTTTTGGGGTTTCAAAATTATGACTTGTGTTTAGTGTACACACTACTCTCTGTTTTGACTTGTGAGATTATATTGAGTATGTTTTTGTTGTTGTTATTGTAACCATTGGCGGAGCCACTTTATAGGCAGGGGTTCAACCGAACCCTTTTCGGCGAAAAATTATGGCTACTTCGTGTGTATATTTCTTTAGATTTTGAACCCCCTTATTAAAAATTCTAGCTTTGTCGCCATTGATCGTAACATTTAGTATCTACAAAAGTGTAATGTAGTCAGATGAAAATAATACTACAATTTCTGCTTCTTTAACAATAAAAAAGTGCAAACCAATTTAGACAATCCAATTAAGTACAATGCTTTAAAAAATTCAATGACAGACTCACAATAATAATAGACTAAAACATATACAATATTATAACTTAACTTTATATTAATCAATAGAAAATATGCACTACTTTCAGCAATATACGAATAATGTATGCCAAAAGAGTAAATGACAACAAGATATAAAAGTGTTTCTTCATTCTAAAGAATATTTTTCTTATACAAAGATTTTTTTTAACAAAAGCGATCACCAATAGGTTGTGAGCCTAAGAGTGTGGGGGTTTGACTAGACCCCTATCATGTAAAACATAAGTAGAAATACTTACAAAAGATTAGAGGGGGACATGGACCTTGCCTCTAACGAGCAAAAGAGATTGAACAAACAATCTAAAGGAAAGGAAGTAGCCTATACAAGTTCCTTTTCGGGAATACAACAATTAATTAGCTATCAAACAAATCACATTTCTCAAATCTTCTTCTAATCATAGGGAGTTGCCATTTATCGAGTTTAAACAATTCCTTTGCCTCTCTTGGGAGTTCTTGAAAAGAGTGATAGAAGGTACTATTTCTACTTGAAGAGGCATTTTTAGCCAAGAAATCCGCCGCTGCTTCTCTAAAACAGTGACAAAATGGTGATTTGTGCCTGTCAAGAGGTTTGATAATTCTGTCCACAATGTGCTTAATCTTCATATTGTTGGTCGATTTGTTGCTCAACATATTTGCAATAACAAGAGAGTCCAATTCAATTTGAAGGTTGTTATAACCATGGTTGATGTACCATTTAATGCCATAGTCAACAACTAATATGTCAACATGATTGTTGTTGTTGCATTGTACAGGAATGGAGAAGACTATAATAATATTACCATTATCATATTGGAATCTTTCAAAATACATTGAACAGAAGTGACATATATCAACTGTTGTAGGCTAGGTTGTTCAGACATTTTAAGAAAATATACGAGTGTGTGTCGATACTCCAATAAAAGTGTATTTTTGCATCAATATTTTTGGAGAGCTCGAGCAACATAGGTTATAGGCATCTTTTAACCCATAATGATGCCAACACACCCAAAAGATGCAACTCCATATCACATATGCAGTGCAAAAATACAGAGTAAATAGAAAATTTGAATCGAACATACCACGAAGTTGCTAAGAGGATGAGATTGGAGATTGGAGATCGGAGATAGGAGATAACGACATCAGGTTGAAACATCATATAAGAATCTATACTAGATTCAAATTATAAACACCTGCTACAAATAGTTTTTCATTCACACTATTCGAGCAACACAGAACATAACAATCAAATGCATTTAGCAAAAATCATTTGGGTTAAAATAAGTAAAACTAGTGAAACTAAAATGATGTCATCATGCATATAGATATTGAGTTTGTTGGAAGCAATGTGTCACATACCTGAGGGTCTCCCATTACAGATGTTCAAGCATTTGGTTGGAAGAACATGAAATTTGGACTATATGCACGTCCACACATTGCATAATTGTCAGCTCCAAAGCTTCCACCGATAACTATTGTGATCTTGGGAACCTGATTTCATATAATTGCAAGAAACGTTCAATTCTTCCGTATATTCCTCAATGATGAGACGGAAACCATTACTACGTAAATGATCAATCAAAGGTAATTATCCTTTTTGGATATTTTCACATGAATAAAATATATCATGAAACCCTAATTGAGGAGGTTAGCAGTTTGGGGGATAGGAGCTCGGATAGAAGAATCCCAAGTCCTAAGGTTATGAAGCGCAGAGAGAAGAAAAATTTAATAAATGTGTAATTTAAAATATAAAAAAGAAATAAATTTTAAAAAAAAGGTTAACAGGCGTCTAACTATTGTTGTTAAACTCACTTGATGGTGTAAAAAAACTTTACACAGTCAGTGCACACAAATTAATCTAAAAATATATATTAAAATAATATGTTCTTCCTGCCAAACGCATTCAAAAGGTTCAAACGAAGATCTAATAGAAGCGTTTAATTTCGGCGATTTTCTTTATCATTCCAAAAGTATTACACAACTAAAAATCAAATAAAATTATTCATTTGGTAATTTCCCTACTAAATATTGAAGTGTTCTTTTGATATATTTTTCTTACTATTATAATTACGGTTAGCAAGCGTAGACATTAACTGTTGTGAACCGAGTTGGATATGTAAGGGTCTATGGACTAGAATTGGTGGAGACTTATTTAATTGGGATTATTGGGCCGAGTAAAATGTTGGAGTGTTTTATTTGGGATCCCGACCCAATTAACATTTGGTTAAAAGGGCAAATAAGTTGGAAAGAAGGGTTGTCTGTTACTCTCATCTCTTTCTAGATTCTAAGCTTCTCATCTCCCTTCTAGCGTCTATTGATCCCTAGTTCTTAGGTTCAATAATTCTATATTTCTGTTTGGGCTTTTGCTAATTAAGTTGTTGCATTTAGTTTCTGGATTTATAATTGAACTCTAGTCTTATTATAATAGTTGAGAAATTGGTTATTGTTACATTCAAATTGAGTTCATTACATTAACTTTGCTAAAAAGGAAGAAACATGAGGTGAGTTATGATCTATTTGGCTATTTGTATTGAAGTCTTTTCTTTTCTTATAATGTCAACCCTCATTAGGTGTGCTTTTCGTCATATAAAATTCTCTTTATTTAAAAAAAAATGAAAAGAGTCGAATTAAAAAAATATCATTAATGTTTTGTTAAATATCTAAATTATAATTAAACAATAAAAAAAATAAAAAAATGAATCACCATATGATCAGAAGGGAGTAATGTTTCCATTGATTCAACTGGTGCACATATAGATCATACTCTGTCATCAAAAGAAAAAATTTAACTACTGAAAACTAATGAAATTCATTCACCACGACCAATAACGGTAATAATATGATTGTCGTTATATACTCCTTTTGTCCTTAATTACCTATCCGCTTTTAAATTAACACACTTATTAAAAAAAAAAATTGACATCTTGAGTTTACCATTTTATTTCAATTAATTATGAAGTGGATAAATGAAAAACTTAAGATTTTAAAGAAATTGTACCTTTTTCAAAGTAATTAATTGAGAGTATATATAATAGATAAAAAAAAATTGTCATTTCTTGATCTGTCAAAATGGACAAGTAATTAAGGATAACTAAAAAGAAAAAAATGGACAAGTAATTAGAAATAGAAAGAGTAAAAGATTTATTGGTAATTAAATAACAACATTGATAAATCTCTATGATTTCTAATCAACGCTTTATATAAATAATGCTAAAAGTTTTTGAAATTTTGGATACAATAAAATTAACTCAATTATTGATTTAAAAAAATGCCACTAATATTTTGTTATAGTTGAATGCGCGCCAAAATTAAATAGAAAGAGAGAAACAAAGCGTCACACTCCTATTTTCAAGATAGAAAAACAAGTATATATAACTCCAATTTTTATTCACAAAAAATAGAAAATAATTTACTATGGATACAACCAAAATTGGGGCAGTGGGAGGACGTGGTGGATTAATTTGGGAACAAGAAAGAGATGAATTAGCTGGAATTTTTGTATCTTATTGTGAAGACAAAGTTTATTCACTTCAATTCCTTAATTGTGTGAATGGAAACTTTGTTAGTTCAGAGAAATATGGTTCTCCACACTGTAAATTCTATAGTGCAGTTATCTTAAATTATCCATCAGAATTTCTTACTTCAATATCTGGTTCATTTGAACGGGTCAACAAAAAGTCATTTTTCTCAGCGTTGTCTCCAACTCGAGATTTGACAGTTTTAAGAGCAATAAAATTTAGTACCAATAAAGGTTCTTATGGACCATTTGGTACTCCATCAAGTGATGGCAATAATAATATTGACTTCAACTTTGTGATAGGAAATCAACAATTTTTGGGGGGTTTTCATGGTACTAAGAATTGTGATGGAATCGAAAGTATTGGATTTTATATGAAGAACATTCCTTCCTCTTTGATCAAGAAAGATTTGCCAGTACAGGATGAAAAGAAAAAAGATTAACTAGCTATATAATATAGTAGTTTGTATTGTTTTATTTATTCATTTGGTGTTAAGTTGGTTATTATTATATATGTATGGATTCTCTACATATATGCCTAAAATGTCTATTTATTTTGTCACAGTTTTATATATGAATGGATCCTATACATATATCATATATGCCTAAAGTATCATCACTCATGCCAACTACATTTAGATATCTCGCAAATACAAATACAAATATTTTCCTGTTTGTTGCCTAATTATTTTGTTAACAGTATTCATTTGTGTTTTAAAAATAATTTTGGAAAAAAATTATATTTTTCTCCTTTTATTTTAAATAATTCACTTATTTTAAACTGTGAAAAATTTCTAAAAATTCGTACTTGTTAATATGGACTACAGAGAGTAATGTTTTAAAAGGGTTTACTCAGTAAGGGCGAAAAGAGAATTAAACTAGAGATCTCATTTCCTTAAACTAATAATCCATTTAATTCATCTTTTTATTCTTTAATTTCATTTATTATTATTATTATTTATTATTTATTGGTTTTACCATATTAATCTCTCCACAATTACTAGAATGAGGGTAAAAATTAGAAAATGAAAACTAATTCGTTCTTCTTTTTCTAAAAGCTGACAAATACTTTTATGACAAACTAGGTTGGAAAATAAGTCATTCTGATAATTAATTATTTCGATTTTAGTTATTTCAGAGTTGTGTTACTTTTTTTTTCTCAGAACTGTTATTCACTTTTAATGTGGTGGGATAAACATAATACTACATTTTCAAGATAATTAATTTTGAAATAAATTGTCCAACAATTTTATTCCTATCAATATAAAATAAATTCATCATAAAATTATTTATGAATTTATTTATCCCTGGTAACAAAGTCGTCCAGCATGCTCCTCTTATGAAATGGCACTGAGGACTAATTCAATGAACAAAGGCCAAAATTAAATAGAAAGAGAGAATCGAAGCATCTTACTCATACTGTCGAGATAGAATAACGAATATCGATGTGTGACTATGAAAAGACTTTTGTCTAGAGCAGTACTCTCACCATCCCTAATTACTTATTTATTTTGGCAAATTAAGAAATAATATTTTTTTCTTACCTATTATATCATCAATTAATTATTTTGAAAAAGATTCAATTTTATTGAAAATTAAAATTTTTAATTTATCAACTTTATAATTAATAGAAATAAAATGATAAAATTACTATGTCAATTCAAAAGTGAACAAGTAATTAGTGACAGGAAGTAATAAAAATATTATAGGACTCAAAAATTTCTTAATCATGAGTTATAAAACTCTTCTATATATATAACCTGATCTTCCATTAATTTTATCACTACAAGATTTATACAAGAGAGAATATACAATATATGGATACGATAACTGGTTCATTTGCACGTGTCAACAAAACGTTAACAATTTGTTTAAGTTCGATAAAATTGGGTACCATTAAAGGTTCTTATGGACCATTTGGTACCCCATCAACTGATTATGAGAATAATTTTGAGTTCAATTTTATGATAGGAAATCATCAATATTTTGGGGGATTTCATGGCACCAAGAGCCTTGATGGCATTGGAAGTATTGGGTTTTATGTGAAGAACATTCCTTCTTCTGTGGTCAAGTTGAAAGATAATACAGTAATGGTTAAAAAGGAAAAAGAAGAAGATTAATTATATTAATTGGTGTTTGGTTATTATTTATGTATGGTTCATCTACTTTATGTGCCTAAAATTTCGATATGTTTTGTTACTATTTTTCTTGGTTTCTTATTTAATTTCTGGAGTATTACTTATTTACTTTATTATCCATATGGTATCAACAAATACAATTCATAATGTTCAAATCTTAACGTAATGTTATATTCCATTTTCTAATTTTTAAAATAGGTGAATTATGTAAATTTAACTGGTGAAAGAAAGAATATTGCTAGGATAAGTCGATTTTTGTCCATCTAAAAAGAACAAAATAAATTTGTACATTGACAACTAAACTAAGCCCTTAAAATATTCCTCCAAAATAGCATTCCATCCTCGATTCCATCGTTAATTTTACTAGTCATTTGTACGTTTAATAAAATGTAATCTCTAGTTCATATTAGGTAAATTATTGAAACATTATTATATACTTACCTTTTATTTAATGAGTTTCTTAACCACTTTACAATTTTCAGTAGAATATTATGAGAACAATCAAAAAGGTGAATGAAAAGTAACATTTTTTAAGAAAAAATTCACAAATATACAACAAAGTAGTTTCATTTGCACCAAATATAGCTATATTTTTATTTACACAAAAAAATACCCCAAAATTAGTGATTCAGACAACGTATTTATATACATGTTGTTCATAAATTTTCATTTACACAAAAAATACCCCCAAATTAGTGATACAGACAACATATATATACATTGTTGATACAATAAAGTATAATTTGCAAATTGATCTTTTTCAATCTCCAACCAATTACTCAAATCTACTCTGAGTTTTTTGATATATTATTTACTCAAAATGATTCACATTATGTAATACATTGATTTAAAAAAGTCAAGCTTTGAACATGAAAGAAGATATGAAGAAGAAGGAGGAGGAGGAAAACAATGAAGGAATTAGAACAAGGAAGAGAGGAAGAAGACCAAAGAAGGCAAGAAGAAAGCACAAATTGCACTTGGCTTGCAATTGAAAAATGAAAAGTATTGGATGACCATTTTTGATAAATAACAATAATTAGCCTATTTTGAGAAATGATTTATGACTAGAAAGTCATTTTGCTTAATTATCTCTTTTCTTAAAAGGTACACCATATATAATAATTCACTTAATTTGGACTAGAGAAAATATTAATTGAAGGCCGAAGGCCAAATAAAATGATGAAATTTATAATCAAACAAGTGGGAAAATGTTGAAATTCATTGAACGGGCCTAGTTCAAAATTAAATTGAAAGTGAGAAACGAAGCACCACACTCCTATTTCGAGATAGAAGATCAAATAGCAACGCATGACGATGAAAACGCTCTGCATACTTGTAATTAATATTACTACGACTTATAAATTTCTTAATCGAAACTCTTCTATATATATAATCAATCTTCCAATAATTTCAATCCAACAATTTGAACAAAAGAGAATAATATATGGATACGATCAAAGTTGGGTCAGTTGGAGGACGTGGTGGATCAATTTGGGAAGAAGAAGGAGATGAATTAGTTGGAATTTTTGTTTCTTATGATGAAGATATAGTTTATTCACTTCAATTCCTGAATTATGTGAATGGCAAATTACATATGTCAGCTAAATACGGTACTAATTGCTGTGAAATGTACGGTGCAATTATGTTGGATTATCCATCAGAATTTCTTACTTCCATAAGTGGTTCGTTCGAACGTATCAATAAAAAGTTAACAGTTTTAAGATCAATAAAATTTTGCACCAATAAATGTTCTTATGGAACATTTGGTACCCCGTCAACTGATGGCAATAATATTGACTTCAATTTTGTGACAGGAAATTATCAATTTTTTGGTGGATTTCATGGCACATATAATTCTAATGGCATTGAGAGTATTGGGTTTTATGTTAAGGACGTTCCATCTTCTGTGATCAAGCTAAAAGATTCTCCAGTTAAGGTTAAAGAGGAAAAATAGGAAGAGTAATTATGTTTATATAAATATGATATAGTATAGTTTTTATTGTTTATTTACTCATTTTGTTTTAGTTTTACATAATGTATTTGGTGTTTTGTTATTACTCAATACTTATTACAGTAATATTTTATTACATATGTCAGTTTCCCAGTTACTCGAGTTGGATTAGGAAGTCCCAGTCAAGAATTGAATTTGAGTACAAATGTGAGTGACCACATAGAAGTTGGATCGGAATATCAGTGAATTGGAAAGAATTTGCTAAAATATGCTAACTGTCATTAACAAAACACTCCATTCACTCACAAAATCAAGAAGACGTTTTAGTCAGAAATATCCTAATGCTGCTGTATAGTTTATCTCAAAATTATCACAGCTATACTAAGATCATCTTCCTGCTGATAATATACCAAGAAGAAATATCAATGGCGAACTAAAAAACAAAACACACACGAGGAGGAGAAAAAGTCAATAAAATGGGTCAATGCTATACTTTTAGCCGGTCGGGTCAAGTGGGTGGATAACTAAATGGTTTAAATGATATTTTTTATATAAACAATTTATATTAGTAAATTTTAATTAAAATATCAATTTAATAGGTGAGTGACTTTCTGAGACAAGGGTGAATATATAGTTGAGTGACTTTTGAGAAAAAATTCAAAGTTGAGTGACTTTTTTATAGAAAAATGCATAACTAAGTGACTTTTGAGTTAAAATTAAAAGTTAAGTGACTTTAAGAGAGAAGAATGCATAGTTGAGTGACCATCTGAGATATTAACTTCACAATAATCTTAGCAAAAGAGAACAGGAAGTACATATCTTCATCAACAAAAATAAGCGACCCAATTTAGCTAACAAAAAAGTTGGCTAATCCTTATATTGGGCAGTTGTATTTGATCAAAATAGACCATAATAATGTAACTGAGCCCACCACTTCATTGGTGTCTTCAGTAATGGAACTCAAATTAAGATTTTCTGATGTCTTGCTTTGCATCATATTCACCATAAGCATAGCGCTCTAGCTAGTTTCAAACTCTAGTTTGATGGGTGCATGGATCTTTTGACTTATGCCAGCAGCACAAGAGCAATGTTATACTCTTCATCACTAATAATTATATTCTAATTTCTGTCAGTTTTTTAAAATAGACATACATATATATACATGATTTTTTTTTAAATTAACGTGTGCACGTGTACCTTCAGTGATAAAGGTGGGTTCCGCCTCTAACTAAACCTCAATGAATATGAATATGATGATAAAATACTCATAACAATCATTATTATTTAAGAGACCAAATTTTAAAGTGGACAAGTAAAAATGAACAATTAATGAAGTAATTCAAAGTGTGTACATGCTGATTACTCTCTCCGTTCACTTTTATTTGTTACTTGTTTCTAAAATAATTTTTCATTTTTACTCGTCACTTTTGACATATAATCCCAATACTAATTATGCAGTTGGTTTTGATTATTCATCAAAGTTTATTACTTCCATAAGTGGTTGTTTCTCGTATGATTATATGAAAACTATAAGATTTGGAACCAACAAAGGTTCCTATGGACCATTTGGATGTACTTCAACTCATGACAATGACTTGGATTTCAATTTTCAGTCTTTTTGCTGGTTTTCATTGTAGGTCTTCTTACTATAGCATAATTAGTATTGGGATTTATGTGAAGCCCATCATATCCTCTTTTACCAACTTGAAAGATCCTCGCGTTAAGGATGAAAAAATTTAACCATTAATAATTAACGCTAAATAACAATCAATCATCAACATGGTTGGTGTTTGGTTATTATATAAGCTTTATCTTTTTGAGTTTTATATGATTTTGTACTAAAGTTTATATTATATGAAAAGCTTGGATGTCCGATTTCTTATGGATTGTCAATCGGTTTGAAAATAAATGACTCACTACAATTTTATCATCCTTTTGTCCTTCTGAAAATGCTTCGACATCAATAAATGCAATGGCAAATCAAGAATATCCATCTATAAATTTTTAATGCTAGTGTTTCAATTTGATTTAGTGGTATCAATTTTATTTTTTTTACTAAAAGATAAGTAAAGATATGGTTAACCTAAAAGTATTATTGTTCAAAACTGCTTATTTTTAGAAGTATGTGTTTTTCATAAGCAAATTATATTTGATTAATTTTTATTTTTTTTAAAGTATTTTTGAGAGTCGAATTATGATAAAAAGGCAAGTATTAATGTACTTTTAATATTCAAATTATTTTATAAGGAGAAATTATTTTATTATTTTATAAGGAGAAATTATTTTAAATATTTATTATAAAAAATCATTAAAATTTTATTCTTATTAAATTAAAATGTACATATTCAAATTTTCATTCAATATTATACCTTTTTTTGGAGGACTGAAATTTTTAATTGTTATTTTTTTTTCTAATCCTGCAAAAATATTATTGCTACCTTTTGTGATTCTGCAAATATAATAAAAATATGTAGACAAAAAATAAAATAAAAAAGCTATTATATAAAAATAAAAAAATTATTAAATAAAACTTAACTAAACTTATAAAATAGGTTAATTAGTTAATTATATATATATATATATTAGTTTTGGAAAAAATAATTTTCTACTTTTTGTTTTGGGTAAGAAGTAGGGATAAGGGTCTGAAAAATATCTCAACTTTGATCGGATTTGTTGTTGCGATACTAAACTTTCATGAGGACCTATTACCTCCCTAGACTATTTAATAGCGTATTTTAAAGGTATATATGTGTCCACGTGGACACATTACTATTTATAATTTTGCATTATTTTTTATGTCCACGTGGACAAATATATATGTTTAAAATACAGTATTAAATAGTCTAGGGAGGTAATAGGTTCTCATGAAAGTTTGGTATCGCAATAGAATATTCGACCAAAGTTGAAATTATTTTCAGACCCTTATCCCTTGTTTTGGGTAAGAAGTATGGAAAAATTATTTCTACTTCTATTAGAAGTAGCTTTATTGATTTGTGAAATATTGTACTATTAGCATTATTGGTGTGCTTTTAGTCCTTCATCTTTCGGCTTCCACCTCCCGATCGCCACCACTACTTCACTTTCAGTCCTTTACTGTAATTGTAAGTCTTTTGTTAATTTTCCGGTGCTATTAATCTCTCTCTTCATTTTCATTTTTATTCAGTTCAGATTTGATTTCCCTTTGTTAATTTTGGATCTATTGTTAATGCTTATCGTCTTAGTCTATACAATTGTGCGACTGATTTTCCACCTAATCAGCCCACTGGGTGTTAGAAAAAGCAGTAAGTATAATTGAAAGAAGAAGATGACTTTGAGGCACGGAGAAATCACTTTCCTTAAATTGAGGTGTATGAATATGTTTTCATTGACATATAGAGAAGAACTCATGTGACCTAAAGATGTTCAGGCTCGATTAGAAGTGACAATGTGTTTGGAATAGATTTTGTAAATGGTCTGTAAGAATTTCACCGTAGTTTGTAAATGGCTAGTTATCTTAGTAAACAAAAATGTTGGACTTGCTTTGTTATAGACTTATATGTGAGAAGAACTATAAGAGCGTGGAGGGACAGTTTCGTGTTCAATGGTAGAGAGGATATGAATTTAAAGAAATTGTTAAGCTAAAGTCTAAATAAAGATTTAACATTTTTGCTTTGTCTTTGTGCTTAGATCAGTTGAGAAGCAAGAGAGAATGATCAAAGTTGGGCCAGTTGGAAGCCGTGCTGGATCGATATGGGAAGAAAATGGACGAGGCGAAGTTGCTGGGATTTTTGTTTCCTACACCAAAAACACAGTTCAGTCGCTTCAGTTCCTGTTCTATGAGGATGGCATGTTTGTTCAGTCAAATAAGCATGGCAGTCAGTACTGTACAAACTTCTCTGCGGTTCTCCTTGATTATCCATCAGAGTTTCTTACTTCGCTAAGCGGTTCCTATGTGAACAATGGAGGTTTGGCAGCTATTAAATTTAACACCAACAAGGGTTCCTATGGACCATTTGGGGAGCCTACAACTTATGCTAATCACTTCAACTTTCAGTTAGGAAATCATAGTCTTTTTGGTGGTTTTCATGGCACCATGAGTCACTCTGCCGTTGAGAGTATTGGGATCTATGTTAAGCCAGTCGTATCCTCCATGATCAACTTGAAAGATCTTCGAGTGAAGGATGAAAAATGATCCTAGTTCGTCTTATTTTACTCTATGCTTGCTGCTTGCTGCTTGATTATTATGTAAGGTTTATCATTTATGCTTTGTATTGTAAAAAGAAGTTCCTCCACGAGGTAGTGGTAAGGTCTTCGTATATTCTACTCTTTTCAGACTCCACTTAGTGGATTTTATAAGGTATGTTGCTGTTGTTGTAAAATGTTACATTCCCGTTTGCTATGACATTGAGGTAAATCAGACTTCATTGCCAAATTTCATCTTAATGTTTAATGTTTTGGTTAAAATTATCTTGATTCTTGAACATCTTTTAATTTAACCAAAGGGGGTGGTGTATTTTCTGTTGAGTATTATTATGAGAAACTTTTGAGCAAGGACGAGTTTATTTTTCTTTCAATCTTATTCAATTTTGATAAATATAAAGAACTAGCACGATTCGAATTTTATATCTAAAAAATTATTTTAAATGATACACAAATATTAAAGACTTTTTATGAGGTAGGAAAAGAGAAAATGAGGAAGAGCATTACAAGATAGGAAATCGAATTAGCTACTTAAAATTTTCAAATATAACAAATTAATTTTATCGAGAATATCATCTCTACCTTTAAGATTAGGTAAAATATGTGTACATTTATCTTTCTCACAAGACTACTCTCATTATCGAATTCGCATCGGAAAATTTCTGGGGATAAAAGTTACAACGCTCCCCCCAACAGAGGTAAAATATGTGCACATCTATTAAGGATAAAGTGCTCCCGACCAAGGCGACTCCACAATAGGAGGAACCAACTTAAATGATGCCAACGAGGTGGTCTAATTTTTCAAGTTAAGAGACGTGGCTTTAACTCTAGCCAGTCCCTCCAAAAATGTCCCTCTCTCTTCTCCGAAACACTGCATATCTCTCTTCACTTCCATTCCCAATTCGATTCATCTCCTTTACAGCAATGCCCAGAGCACGCAAAATTCCTCTTCTGCAAACCCCAGGTGCCCAATCAAAGAGAAACAGCTTTTGAATATCTTACAAGAATGTGTTGTTTTGTTTAGTTTAGTTAAATCTTGAATTTTTAACATCCTGTTTTAAGTTTTAATCTTGAAATTGAGCTTAAAGTTGTAATCTTTTTCATTAATGTTGATGTTTTCTTGCAAATTATCAAGACTGGTTTGTGTAATAATCATCAAAGATTGTTAATTTTAGGTTCTGAAGATGATGGTGTTGTTCCCAAGAACAGAGTGAGGAAAAGGAGAGTGGAAATGATAGCTAAAGAGGTTAAGACAGAATCTCCACAGGAAAAAGTATGTGTCTTTTCTTAATTCATTAACACTGTTTTGGGTTTTTTCTTCTGTACAATGGAGGTTCCATTTGTTTATTATTGTGATCATTCTCTTATCTTGCCAAGGTTTGATTTGTAATATTTCTTGATTGGCGTAATACCTAAATGTGCTCTTGATCTTGATCCTGGATGATTATGTCCTCCAACTTTGAGTATGTACGTGTGCACTTAAATTTATAAAATTAAACAAGTAGACACACATGTCTATGTGGTATAATACATGTTTGGCGTCATGTAAGACAAATGTGTCTATTTATTCAACTTTATATAGTTTAAGTGTCTAGTTGTGCATGCCTAAAGTTGAAGGACAAAAATATTGGTTGAGGCCAAGTTAACTCACACGTTTATGTATTATTGGCTTAGCTCCATTTCTTTGAACAATCTTATTGTTCTCCTAATCCAATGATCGTCTCACTTTGCTTGACCTATCTAAGAGTGATCAAGCAATTTATTAAGTTTGAATTAATTACTATATACTAAGTTTGACTCAAATATTATTTTGTTATAATCTTAACAAGAATACCTGGTAAATTTCATTTCATGAAAGAGGAATTTTTTCTGTGATCTATGTACTTCACTGACTTTTTAAAATATCAAACACTATAGATCCTTGGTTCTTGAGGTTTCCGGAGGAGAAACGAATCATGTGATTTTTTAACTTGTTGCAGTTTCTCAGGCATCCAGAAATTGAAGATTTTGCAAATAAAAGTGACAATGTTTATTCTCAATCAAGTGAGTACCAAGAATTTCTGTTGTTATAGATTTCATAGTAATATTGAACGTTGCACATTTAGTTGTTAACTATATCTCCATATAGAAAGGTTGATTCTGCTGTTAAAAGAAAAAGGGCGTTGTTACTTATTTGTTTGCAACTGTTTTTTTAATCATTGAGGATTGTTCTTGGGTTTAACAAACCTTATGGATAGTAAGACTTAAGATCTGGATAATTCGATGCAGTACAACCTCCTGCCAACTGGGAAAGGGTCATTGAAGGTATTCGCAGCATGAGATTATCAGAACATGCACCTGTAGACTCCATTGACCCCGATGAAGGGGTGACTTCTCTGCAACCTAAGGTGCATACATCTTTGCTGACTTGATACTTGGTTAGTGGTTGTATTCTTCGACGGTGTTGTACTTTCTCTAATAAAAAAGAGTAACTACGTTTAGTTTTCAAGCAAGGAGGTGATTTTCTGGCATATAATGACACTAGAGCCCTTTTGGGAAATAAACTCAACTTGTTGCTCTTTAGGATTTTCCTTGACAAGCTTATTTTGTGGAAGGGCAATTTTAACATCTAAATTAAGGGAAGGCCAGATATACCATCCAAGGAGAGAATTGAAGATTAAATGATCCAAGTTCTCTCAAATGTAATCTAGAACGGAGTGTTCATGTATAAGAATAAGTTGAGAACAGAAGTGTCCTTTTACTTCTTTTTTTTATGAGTAAGCTCGTATAATATTTTAACACTTCTGATAGGATGCTGATGTTGATTACTAGTTTCTTCTTCACAATCTCATCAGGAAAGAAGATTTGCTGTTCTGGTTGGTTCATTGTTATCAAGCCAGACCAAGGGTCATGTTACTCATGGTAAGTGTTGAGATTACTAGTGTTGGAAGCTTCAGCTATATGATGCTCGTTAATAACGTGATTATCTCTTAGTAGAACTACATTCATGTTCTCTTTGTGATAGATTGTGTCTCTTGAATGAGTTAGTAACATATCCATATATAATTTCCTCTTCCTATCTTAGAGGTTACTCTGATTACTTGAAGTCAGATATTAATTTTCCAAAATTTATGAGGCTATGCTATTCTTCTCTGGCTTCCTATTGGTATGTAAGGATGCCCTCTGAATCTGCAGAAGCGAATCAACGGCTCCTCGAAAATGGTTTGCTGAGTGCTGACACAATGGATAAAGCTGATGAAGCCACCATAAAGAGCTTGATATACCCGGTATGTTCTCAATGGTGTCAGTTTATGATATTACCGACATTTGCCCTCACGCTGAGTTACTTAACAACTTCTATTGTCAGGTTGGATTTTACACAAGAAAGGCTCAGCACCTTAAACAAGTTGCAAAGATTTGTGTGTCTAAATATGACGGAGACATTCCTAGTACAGTTGATGACTTGCTTCTACTTCCAGGTGTTGGTCCCAAGATAGCTCACCTGGTAGGAAGTTATGCTTCTCTCATTTTCCTTTCACTGCACATTTCAAAGTTATTTAAATAGATTTTCCTTAGGTTATGATTATGGCATGGAACAAAGTTGAAGGGATTTGTGTAGATACCCACGTGCATCGTGTTAGCAATCGGCTTGGTTGGGTCTCACGGCCTGGAACAAAACAGGTATGCTTGATTCTATTTAAGACGAAGCTTCACTGCTATAATGAGCAACTAGAAAATGGGGCATACACTATGTCATGTGTGTACAAATATTTTAAATAATTTTCTTGGGTCAACCTTTCCATACAAAGCAGATATGCTTATTATGAGAATTTGTTAGTGAGAGGAGTCGACCTTCCCATACCTTTCTATTTGGGTCCCCGGGATGCCCAAGTAGGTCTATCTCTTTGCGGGGTTGGTAACAAGGGGAGAGTGATATTGAAGGCAGAAAACTCGAGAAAAAGGAGGACTGACTACCTATAGTAGTTGGTGCTTCATGTGCAGATGTTCGTGTTAAGACAAGGACCATCTATTGTTACATTGTCAGGTGGTTGCGCATCTGTAGTCAGTAGGTCTAAATTGGTTTCGAATACAATGGGTAATGTCGAGTATAGTGAAAGACACATTCTCTAATGTAATCCCAAAAGCGGAGTTTAGGGATGGTAGAGTGTATCCACACCTTACCACTACCTCGAGCAGGTCCCATTGAGTCTAATGCAAGGAATTTATAATAACAAAATGTTTAGATAGAATCATTGAAACTAATAAATTTTTTAGATGAAATACTCTCAGCACTTCCGTTCCTACTTGCTTGACTCTGTCAGGGAACTAGATCCCCCGAAGAGACAAGGGTCTCCTTGCAGCAGTGGCTTCCTAAAGAAGAATGGGTTTCCATTAATTTGCTTTTGGTACGTTTTCCCGTCATTCTTTCTCCGAAGCATATTTGATTATCCCCTTTCCCATCTCTTTTGGTCATTACATCTTCACTTTCACCTTTGTCCAATTATATCGCTTTCAGAATCAGTATATGAAATGTGTGTTTATTGCTTCTTTTCTATTTATTTAGCTGACACCAAGAGCTTCATTTTAGATTCTATGTATGTCAACAATCTTTAAAAAGGAACTGTTATCAGCATAAGAAAATGCTCTTTTATCTTGCTATCAGTTGCACTGCATAGTGAAAGTCGACTATATGAATACTCGTTCATTCTCAAATCTCTGAAAAAGTATTTGCTACCTCGAGCTAGAGTAAAGGTTAGGCTTTAGCTATACTTAAGGTGTTTTTGAACCTGCATTCCATGAGTGGAAACAGGCGATAAATCCGTGTACTAAAGTGTACCTTTTAGGTAAATGAATCTCTCCACCCTTAATTAGAGGTCTCGAATTTGTCCCTGGAATAGAGAAATCCTAGCTTTTCCCCAATATGGGACAATGCATGCTTGAATCTGAAGTTCCTTTGGATTTTGAAAAACAGGTCGGCTTTGGGCAGACCATATGTACTCCTCTGAGACCTCGCTGTGCAAAATGTACGGTAAGTGAATTCTGCCCATCGGCATTTAAGGAGATATCAAGCACAGCTTCCACTTCCAAAACACGACGCCCCAAGAAAGAACTGTGATGACAAGGTTGTTTAGCTGCTAATGTGACCAATTCAAGCTCTATTTTTCTAATAGTAAGTCAATTTGAGCTCAAAGGATAGTTGATCATACTATTTTGTATAGTATTCATTTAGCAATTGATTTCTACAGAACTAGATATACATTCTGCAAATAGAAACGCGACAAGTGGAAAGCATTGTAGTATGTTTTTACTCGTCAATATATGGAGGGTTATTTGTTGTTGTAGATCAACTTATAAATTTGAAAGATACTATCTAACTTGAGGTTAATTTGATCAATGAAAATGGGTTGAGGGACTATACTTACCTCTCTAATTTTACTTCATATGCCTTTATTTAAGGCATGAAACTAATATAATTTGAAAGCTTATCTTTATCATAGGTCAACTTAACCTGATAGTATTAAAAAAAAACATGTACACCTCTAATGGTATAACATACTAGTAAGTAGTAACTTTCGCTAGCTAGACAATGTTTCCTAAATGAATGAGAATGCATTTTGATTAGGGATGACAATGGGGCAGTGTGAGGTGGGGGCGGGGCGGGTTTAGCTTAACCGCAAAATTATTAGTCTGTCCCACCCCATTGCCATCCCTATTTGAATTTATCAAAAATGTAAGTCAAACTTTAGAGAGAAACTAAGAGACAGATTCCCTATTAATTATTTCAAGATGAAAAGAACAAATATCAATGTGTGACACTGAAAAGCCTATCAAAATATTTCTTTCTAAAGATTTTTAAGTTAATGTGTGTAAAGAAAACATTGAATATTGTACTCTATAAACGAAGAGTCAGCTTCCTATTTCAAGATTAAATGAACAAATAGCAAGGTGTAGTGAAACGTCTCAAAGAGAGCCTCTTTATATAGTCTCATGTTTTAATTACTCAAAACATGAGAATGGAAAATTAGTGTCTGAAAAACATGGTTTTGATGTTAGCAATGTCAACATCAAATCAGCTTCTTTTTTTTATTATCCATCAGAATTTCTTACGTCGATAAGTAGTTCATTCCGATTATGGTATAATGGAAATACTACTACTAGTATTTTAAGTTCAATATCATTTGGAACCAACAAGGGTTGTTCTTATGGACCATTTGGAGTACCTCTACTGATGACAAACAATTCAACTTTCATAATTAAAGATGTGGAGTTGTTCTTGAATGCCCCACTCTGACAATTCAATTATTAGTAAGTTGTGATTTGCACTATTTTGAATGAAGACATTTAATTGTAGACATAAAACAACCTCACTGGCCCCTTTCCTTTACATGGTCTAGATTTTTTGACTTCGATTATTTCTTAAAAATGGAAAATTGTGCTATGTAAGAGAATGGGTAGTAGCCATTAGGATAGGTATAAAATTACTAATTTGGTCTTTGTTGTTCTTGAAGGCCCCACTCGCACAATTAGAGAGATAAGATATACTTGTTGTTGATCACTATTGTATCTAGAGATGTTTGATTATTTATTCTAGCTGAATTTGAGTTGGAACATACATATTGGTTCTTTAAGCCCAGCTTATGAAGACAATATATGTGCCTAGAGAGGTAAAAAGAGGAAATTTCGCAAATAACCATTAAAATAAATTTAATCACGCTCCAATAACTATTGTTTGGTAATTACAATTTGTAGTACATGTTAAAAGGGAGGAGAGAGGCGAGCGAGATTGGGAGAGGGCGCGAGGGCAGAGAGGCTAATTGTATTTGTATATTTGTCATATAATTGTATATGTATATGTATAATTTGTATTTGTATATGTATAAAAGAGGAGAGAGAAAGCGAGGAGAGAAGCGATACAATTATAGCTATAATTGAACTGCGAGTGGTAATTAATGAAAACTATGACTATGTTAACTAATTAACTAATACATGTTTGTTTATCCGCGTAATTTCTCCGAAAGACCAAAACTAAATTAGGAACAGAAGTGCAAATGACCCACTTTTAAATTGCTGGATCAGGCCAATCAAAATGGGTACGTTAACATGAGAAATTAAATTAATCATATTTTCATAAGTGGAGTCAAATTCCTATTAGAACAAATCCCAACGTGTGACAGACACTGAAAGAATAAACTTAACCTCATAAACAAAGAATCAGATTCCTAATTCAAGATTAAAAGAAGAGAAACACTAACTACAGTGAAAAGGGGTAACCTTAACCAAAGAAGCAAAGAATTAGATTCCTAATTCAAGATTAAAAGAAGGAATTCCAACATGAGAGGTCTCAAAGAAAAGCTAATCCAATTGATTCATACAGAAGAAATATGGATATGATCAAAGTTGGTCCAGCAGGAGTACAAGTAGGAACCCTTTGGGATGAAAAGGGACGAACCGAAGTAGCCCAGATTTTTGTTTCCTACAATCATGACACAGTTTGCTCACTGCAGTTCCTCTTCTATGAGAATGACAAATTCGTAATGTCAAATAAGCATGGCACTAATGAATGTGAAAGCTTTTGTGCAGTAACATTTGATTATCCAACAGAGTTTCTTACTTCCATAAGTGGTTCATTCCGAAAAGCTTATGGATATTGTATTTTGAGCTCAATATCATTTGGAACCAATAAGGGTTCCTATGGACCATTTGGAACCCCGACAGCTGATGCTAACAAATTCACATTTAAGATGGGAAATTATCCTTCTTTTGGTGGTTTTCACGGCAGCAAACACCATCATGGTGTTGAGAGTTTTGGAGTCTATATGAAGCCCATCACAACCTCAACGATCCATTTTAAAGATCCTTCAGTAAAGGTTAAAAAGGAAGGAGTTCAAGAGAAGAAGGTCTAACTCAAGCTGCATACATTGAATAATGAAGTTCGTATTAGTTTTCTCTATTGCTTATGGTTGTTTCTACTTTTCATATCAATTTTAGTTGGTGTTACTTGTTAAATGAGAATAGTTTTCCTACTCTAAAAGTTGGATATAAAGAAGATGGCTAAGGCCATATTCTCTATGGTCAATGTTGTAAATTACTTCCAATTTTGATTACTCAAATAGCGTGGAATGTCATTGTTTTTCCTACTCCCATAAGACAAGTAAAGCTTACGAAAGTTGTTAATTGGCTTGCATAATTGCATTATCATTTAGAACAGCAGTATTAAATCTGATACTAATCATCTTAGTTGGTCAAGTTGTCCTTTTATCCAGACTAATAAGAGATATATTATGAAATATATTTCATAATCAAAGGCGGATCAAGGATTTAAAGCTTATGGGTTCCTACAGATCTAAAATTATTAAAAAATAAATATGAGTGTCCAAGGGGATTCAAAATCTCATCAAGGAGGGTAACAAAACTTCAAGTGGTTCCATTTCTGCCACTGAACCTCTTGCTGCTTTGTTACTAGGTTCCCAACACATATTTCTTATATATTTTCACAATATAATTACTGGATATGAGCAAATGTTACTGGGTTCCCGAAAAACCCCTCCCAAAGCCCTAGATCCGCCCTTGTTCATAATGAGACGGATAGATCAATTTCAAAGCAGACACAAGGAGCGCAAAAGAACTTTAGTTGCTGTAATACTCAACCTGCACTTCTATAGTTTATCTACTATGAGAAAAGTAATCAATTTAATATGTGAAACATATACAAGTACATCAATCATATGGTATATTCTCATCAATAAAGTAAGCAATATTCGATTCATTTACTACACACATTACAGAGGCTAATTTATTTTGATGTACGAGTCGGAAAATGTGATGACTTGAACTTAATTCTTTTGGCCAATAGACTTGGAAACCTAATAGCTCATCACTCATGACCTAGATTGAAGGGTCAAAATAACAGAAATTTTGAAGCATTAAACCGAAGAAAACTTAAAGGAGTTCATTATATGTAGATAACTGCAATGGATAAGAAATAGTGATGCAAGAATTGTATTTCTTAATTTTGTATAAGCAAATAGTGATTCAAAGTTCTAACAGCTTCGAATAAAATGAAGGCCAGAAATGGCAAACCTATAGTAACATATATATTGCACTTCTGAGGTCAATTAAAAGTTAGGTTTAGAACAAATCACATTTAAATCTATGTACAACATGTTTCAGATGAATTATCACCAAATAAAGTACCTTGTGTGTTTTGATGTTACATGCCCCAGATCCCTCGAGCTGATGCCATTTTGTTGCTTGGCCGTGATGTCAGTTCGTACAGTATCCTGGAAAATATGTCTGAGTATCTTGGGTCACCAAAAAGCATCTCCGCAAATGCATTTTCATGCACTAGCAGGAAGGGCTTGTTCTGTGGCTCTGAAACAAGGTTTTCCAAAATCGTTGCTGCTTTCCTGCACACTTCTGGCACAGGATGTGGCATCTTAATGACCTTCAACAGTCTATCAATAGCCCTGAAGTTTAATGTTGTGGATAAGTCATTCAGATAATAACTTAATAAAAAGTTATGACTTGGTCAGATTGCCTGTCTCACCATCGTTCACTAGCAAGCTTCAAACGGCAGTCCATATTTATTTCTGAAAGGTTATATAATGCACCAATAGCAGCTGCTTGAGCATCAATGGCCGGTTGGCTCATGATATCAACTAAACGTTTATTAATCTGCGAGCCACAAATTTAAGTCAACAGGTTTTCAGAAAATATTCACAGAGTACATTTAGGAACTCTAGAATAGGGCCTGTCAAAAACAAGATCAACCTGTGTTGCAGAAGCAAGTAAGAAAGGTTCATTATCAGGATTTATTATAAGACGACCAATTAATTCAGCGGCAGCACAATGCCAGGCCTTAACAGCAGATCCTAGCACTCCCATGACGGCCTGTACTGCACGTTTCTCCCTGCATAAGGATCAAGAAACTCAATTACTGTGTTGACATGCATTAATATAAGAGAAATAATAACTACAAGTGATACTCTTACGTCATTTTGATAAAAGAAGGTTTTGAGGAACTGAAAATCCGAAGATCTATCAATGGACCTATATTCACTATAGTCTCGAGAGCATTTGTGACAAGTTCTTCATCCTCTGTTATCATAAAAGAGAAAAGATGACAATGTATAAGAAACGAGCTTAACAGAAAATTACAGAAAACACATGTTCAGGCATAGAGAACTGCATTTTCTAACATACTCCAATTGCTTTTTCTCTGCTCAGAATAGGGCCTATCTAATTTAATTTTCTTATATCTTCTTTTTAAGGTATCCTTTAAAAGGCCAGGAAGCGCACTGGGATGCAGGGTGAATATAAACAAGTTTATCGAAATTATGGAATAGGGAAAAAACAAAGTCCAGAGATTAGGAACAATAAAAAAAAATAGCAAAATCAATGTGTTACACAATGGATAGGTCACTTCTAATATACTCCAAGACCTTTCTTTAGACTTCACCAAGCTAGTGGAGAAACATTAAATTCAAGCTTTGAATTGGAAGCATCAACCAGAAAAGCACGAGTCATGCAATAGTTTTGTGAGGAGGAAAGGCTGAACAGGTCTGAAAGCTATATCGCAGTCCAGAATATGTTCTGAAGGATTCATATAGGTTTTCAATGGAAATACAAGGCATAATGAAGAAGCCGACTCGTCAAGAAAGACAAAATTAACATCTTATAACCATCAAGGCTTAAGAAAAAAGGATAGTAAATGTATTAGGTGAGGGGACCATTACAATACAAATAACAATATCACAAATGCCAAGCTTGTAAGCACAACTGCGCAACACAGAAACCATATATATCAACATTATAACTTCCCAAAGAAAAGTTCCACGTCATAGATGGCAAGCTTGTAAGCACAACATAGAGATCATAAATATCAAACTAAACTTCACTCCTACCTGTGACATAATCTGCCAGACATTGGAATAGAGTTTCTAAGCAATGTCTATGCTGGCCCATGATGACTTCATTATCTGGCATAAAAGAGAAGTTGCGAACAACGTTTGAAGCAGCAACAGCAAACTGCTGTTTTTCAATCCGCCCCTCCTCATCCAAATTAAATAGGCCATCTTCCTCAAACCACAAACCCGTGGGGCGAGACTTGGTAGAACTCTTCTGAACAGATGACTCTCTGTTGGCAGCTCCAGAACCAGGATTACAAACCATTACAGAGATCTCATGCAGTGGAAATAATTAACGTAAAAAGATTAAAGTAATAAAGGCATTGAAAAGAAAGAGACGGGGTTTTGAAACCGTCTAGAATTACCTAGGATTGAGAACAGATTCATTCGAGTTCAATGCTTCATATTCAAGTCCAAATCCAGTAACGACTGAATTTGCACCCAAAAGCCGGACACGCGGTGCCTTTACAAGTACCCTTGGTAAGGCTATATCACGCCAATCATCTATCTGTTTAATAGAAATATTGTCATCATCAGCATGATAATAGAATAAACAGTAAAGAACAAGCAGAAGTTACATGGGAATCATGTTCTGTGGTAGATATCAAGAAACATACAATTTGAAGCAGAGCATCAAGCAATCCAGGAATTTTGGCGAGAGGAGTCGCATCCCTGCGGACTTCGTCTTTCTCCTTGAATGATAGCAGAGTGAGGATATTTAATGCCCATGTCAGCTCCCTCTTTAATCCACTTTGAAGAGCTAGAACAATTCTTTTATTATTCTGTTCTGGTAAAATTTTAAAAAAAAAATTAAGATAACCAAATAATGAGCATGCAAAGAATAAAGGGGCTGGCATCATCTATTTCTACAGCCTTATCAGAAATCAATGCCTCTATTTTTTTCTCAATTCAACATGTAAGTCCATTTTTTCAGTAAGTATCCCCTTACATAAATTCTGTTCCCTTTCAGACGAATTATATCTTTATTAGTTAGTTGAGATCAGAAACAATCTGGTTCACTTGGCTTGGTTGACCATATAAAAAACAAATACCTCCCTGCCTACACATGCTAATCCTAGGCATAACTCTTTCATTTAGTTCTAGATCGAGCTGGCTAGTTCGGTGATCATAGAATCATAGATCAGTAGACAATCCACTTTATCCAACTCCCATAATTGAATCTACATGAGTACATAATGCATGCCGTCAAATCATGTGCGTCAAGATTTTTAGATACCCTCTTACAAGTAAAACAAATTCTGCATTACATCTTCAGCCAAATAGGCTGGTCATGGGAATTTGGTCTTCCATGTCTTCAATTTAACAGAATTTTATTAATACCCTATATTGTTTTGTAAATAAAAAGAACAGAAACTTTTTATTTCAGAAAATGAATATTAAGGGGGCAAAGCAAATAAAAGAGAAGTCGCTCCCAAGTTCAAAAAACTTCAATGGAGCAGTGAGTTTGTCCCTAGGTCACGCTATACTCTAGGATTCAAGGAGGAGATAAAATTGTTGGAGACACAGTGATGAGATTCTTTCTATCGTATTCGACTAGGGGGCTATCTAGATCACATCCCAGTCAAGAAGATGATCCTGTGAGTTGTTTCATAACATATGGCTTCAAAAAATTAGTCAGTAAACATCTGCGTCATGACTTCTTTAGACCTTTGGTTAAAAAGGAAAAACTTACTCCGACCGTCAGCCGAAACTAACACTGCACCAATCCAGTTGGAATTGTGTCAATTGCAACATCATCTTCATTAGCAAAGATATAATACCTACTAATTACAATTACTTCCGTCCCAATATACATGATACACTTAATAGCTTTGGGACGTCCCAAAATGTTTGACATATTCCATTTAAATTACTTTCACAACTTTCAAGAATTCAAATTTCAAAAGTTATGTGATAGTTTCTTTATCAAATTAATTGTCAGCCATGACTATAATATTTTCTTACTATAACACTAGTATAATATACAAGTCAAAATTCGCAAAACTTCCTGTCCAACCAAATTATGTCATATAAAACTGGACAAAAGGAGTGTTTCACTCAAAAGGTGTTTAGAATACATGCACTACATCTTGTTACTTG